GTCGAATCGCGATCTCGATTCCATTTCGATTTATCGTGCAGCCCTAATATTAAGCAATTCTTGTCTTTCCGTCCCCAAATTTAAGACCATTTATAATTAAGACTTTTTGTACCATTTAAGAGTTTTCATGGCCTTAAATTTAAACAATTAAACTGAGGACCCGCGGAAACCCTAAGAACCCACAGTTCAGTGCAAACATTTCTGTCATGCATTTGGCAAAAAGGTTTTGTTTACTATGCATTTTACCTTTGAAATTTGAGGCAGTTTGCCCAACCCTGGTCTAGACACTAATATAATTTTAGTTATCTTTGTAGTTATTATTCTTGGGATGAACAGGCCTATAAAAGGGATAGTTCATCCATGTCGCTCCAAACCTGTATGAGTTTCTTATGTTGAACACAAAAGAATGTATTTTGAACAACGCTGGTAATCAAACAGTTGATGGTCCCCATAGTATTTCTTTCCCTACTATGGAAGTCAACGGGACCAACAACTGTTTGGTTCATTTTTGGGTGAACTATAACTTTAAAGGGATAGTTCACCTTCAGTTGCTAGTCCCCATTGACTTGCATAGTGTTTTCCCCCCAATGGGGACCAGCGAATGAAGGTGAACTATCCCTTTAATTTTAACTAGTCTAAGCAGTTCATGCAACTGGTTTGATTTAGGAAATATTTCTTCACCTGAGGAAATAACGCCCTGAGCAGCATACCAAGATTAATTACCCAATTGCTCACATTTTATTACCCAAACTTTAATTTCAGTTTAGGTTTTTGGCTAAATGCAAACTTTAATTTTGGTTTCAGTGTTTCTAATAAAACATTCTGCATATCTGTTATGGTCTTGTTAGTTTCCACACCTCATTTCGCAAACATAATAATTTAGCATTAATCCTTATGGTCTGTGGTTGTGCTAGTATTTCGTACACGCAACGATAACCGAAAACGCTGTCTTGGGAGTAAGCTGGTGTTAAGTGTTGTGTCAAGGACACAATGGTGTTAGCAGACCCAGCAACCCTTCTATTCAAGGATCTTCCGTGGTCCAGATGTTGAACCACAACCCCACCACAATGCACTTTATATGTCTTGTAAAGTCCTTACATGGCCCGATTATCATCAGGTCAGAGTTCAGGAAGAAGCATTTGACCTTCCATCATGTTTCGCCAAAGAACCTGGTCTTCTTCATATGGGCGTCCTTCATTATTGCATTGGTTTCTCTCCTGCGTTCTTGTGCACTAGTGTTTGCACTGAGACCTTTGGGATTTTGTCAGGAATTGGACGCCCGATCATATTGTGATCACTCTTTTAAGTTGGACTTCCCCCTCCGCCGTCTGCCAACCTGCATCAGTCAAGGTGTTTATTGTAGTCTGAAACGCTTGCAGGGCTTCAAATGATTCCCAGCTTTTTCATTGTGTTGGGATCAAACTCAAGCTTGGCCACTTCCACATGCCGCCGGTGGGTGGTTTTATTAAACGTTTTTAGCATTTTTTGAAGGAAGCCTGCTTCGGGATTTTGGTTTCGGTCCAGGGAGGCATTGTTAACCACACGCTAACCAGGATCCCTGTGTGAAAGTGGGTGGGCGTCTAAAAAGACCTTTAAGATCTCTCAGGACTGAACGTTTTGGGAATGTTCTGCCTCTAACCAGCCTGTGTCTCTTTGACTTCCTGTGTCTTGTACACTCTTTCTCGTCCTTTTATTGGTCTTTAATAAATGCTGCGCTCTCTCTCTTTCCCTCCACCCAAACTAAAACGGTTCCTCTCCACACAGGGGAGCGTGGGTAGTTTTATTGGTCTAAAGGGGAGGCGGAGTTGGTTACAACGGTGAGGGTAGGCGGAGAGGGGGGGAGTAGTGGAGGATCCTGGGTAATTAAGGCAAATGGCTCCCAGATGGCGGGCTGTCAGTGACGTGAGGAGAACGACAAGGTCCAAATGGGAACCAGATGCAGCGGCGGTCGCTTTGAACTCGCCGGTGATGCGCTCAAGAGGCGAAATCGCTGGCAGGGCAGGCGTCCTCCAAGCGCAAGAAAGAGGGAGACGAGGAAAAAGAGGAAGGAAGAGAGAGCGAGAGACGGTTATTAACAGAACCTAATTCAAACACTTTAGTCACTGGGATTGTCACACTGTGCTTCGACCAGCTTAATTTTTTAAAAATTTGTCAAATATAAGAGGAACGTCACTAGACTTTTTCTTCTTCGAGTCATCTGGCCAAGTTTTTCCACATTTTTGGAAAGGCTTTGATCAGAACTGATGTTAAACTGACAAAACAATCTATCTGAAACTATTTAACAGCAATTTTTCCAAAATCGACTTCTTAAAAAATCTACTAATTAAAGATAAATAGTTTTGTCCGAGTATTGTTAATAGAAAATGTAAATATTTATTATTAGTGTATTTTATAATACCAGCATTCATAAAAAATATATAATAAGTATTTGCTTCATAATAAATATTTGAGTTGCCTCAGAAGACCCCTTAAAAGAATAGTTCATGGAAAAATTGGTAACACTTTAGTATAGTAAATTTACTATTAACTAGTTGCTTATTAGCATGCCTATTATTAACATATTGGCTGTTTATCAGTATAAAGCACATATTCTGCATGAGCATATTCTACATCTCTAACTCTACCCAATAACTAAACGTAACAACCACCTTACTAACTATTAATAAGCAGCAAATTAGGAGTTTATTGAGGCAAAATTCATAGTTAATGGTTTGTTAATGGCGAGAAATGAACCTTAAAATAAAGTGTGAAAAATTAAAAAGGACTTCGGTAGGTAACTTCATCCGAATGTACTATTTCAAATGAACAAGACAATATTGTATTTAATTTATCGGACAAAGAATTATCCATTGAACAAACTATAGTATTAAGTAAAGGGTTATCATTTGTACCATACAATGTCTCAAATCCCTTTATGGTCAAAGTTGAATTGTTTAAGTTTTTTAGAAATGTGAAATTGAGAAGTTTTTTTAATTCGAATGCGAATGTAACTCCATATGTACAACAATTTAAACCTAAAAGTACTTTCACACCAGTAGTTCATAATCATTCAGTGAATACTTTCTGTAGACTTGTAGAAAATGATGTGGAAAAATTATTACAAGAACCTAGTGATGAATTGTACAAGAAAAGGAATTTAACAAGAGTGCAAAGAGAAGCTTTATCAGCATTAATAAATGATCCGACATTGACTATTCAACGAGCAGATAAAGGTGGAGGGATAGTGGTTATGAATACTAATACATACGTTGAGAAAATAAAAGGGATGTTACATGATGAGACATTTTATAAGAAACTTGTATTTAACCCGACTGAGTCCTATAAAAAACAAATTGACCAAGTTTTACAAATAGGATTAGACAGGAAATGGATTAATGAACAAGAATTAAAATATTTAAAAAATGAATATCCTAGGATTCCGGTGTTATACACTTTACCTAAAATTCATAAATCGTTAGAAGATCCTCCAATGCGACCAATTGTCTCAGGGAATGGGTCATTGACAGAAACCTTATCTAAATTTCTTGATTCTTTGATTCAACCGATAGTGAAAAAACTGCCATCCTATTTAAAAGACACCACTGATTTTTTGAATAAATTAAATCAAATTCCTTGCATAAGTATGACGGATTGGCTTGTATGTTCTCGTGAGTGCGGATCATAATTTCCTATACTAAGTAACTCAACAGATTGACGCACCAAAATAAAAAGATCAAGTAACGCAAGAGCGCAGTGCAAACGACGTTGTTAAAAAATTAAAATGACAATTAATTTACTGTGCCCCGTGACTTTATTTTGTGGAACACAAGAGGAGTTGTTTTAGGGAATGTATTTTGGTTGTTTTTTCATGTAATTGCAATGAATTTTCAAGCTTCAAAAAAGACCCAAAAGCACCATAAAGTATCATAAATGCAGTTCATGTGACTCACTATATTCTGAAGCCAGAAATGGACTAAAACTGAATTTGTTATTAACTGACAATCTTGACATCTGCCGCGGCTTTGGTTGGCGAGATCAACAGAGAAGTAAGAACGAATCATTCTCGTGAGTTGGATTGTTTTGATGAATCGGATGATTCACGTTCATAACAGCAGTCCGAATGATACGATTCATTTTTCGAGTTCAACTCACTAGGGATCCAGGTGCAGTGGTTAACGGGTGAAGATGATCTATAAATAATAATCTAAATTTCCTTATTCCATGGAAGTAAGAAGGTCATTTGGGTTTGGAATGACATGAGTATGAGGAAATGATAGCTATTAACCAGCCATTTAAGTATGGTTTAAAATTGTGCATAAAGATTTTGAAAGAAAATGCAGTCTTATAAGTGCAGATATAACATTAACCAAATGTTTTTTTTATGCATTGTTCTGATGTTTAGGACAGTGGTGATGCCCATTGCTCAGGAGTTTTCCCCAGACGTCGTGTTGGTCTCTTCAGGGTTTGACGCTGCAGAAGGACACCCTGCTCCTTTGGGAGGATACAAAGTCACAGCTAAATGTAGGATATTTCTTGAAATATTATCTTGCGTATGAAATATAAACTCTTATAAACAGCTTCAAATTGAATTTGATTTATATACATTTGTAAGCAGTCTCAGAAAATGTACTGTGACGCTAATGTTGTCATTGGTCTCTCCGCAGGTTTCGGCTTTTTGACTCGGCAGTTGATGGCGTTAGCAGGAGGACGCGTGGTTCTAGCATTAGAGGGAGGTCACGACCTCACAGCCATATGTGATGCTTCTGAGGCCTGTGTCAGCGCTCTGCTGGGACTGGAGGTCAGATTTCATGCAGAAGCAAACACCATCACAAGAATTCATTTATTATAGCTTTATAAGCCTGTTATACCATTGCTGGTAACAAATAATCAGCACTGTTGTTATGTAAGGGTGTTAACATGACTTTTCTGGCAAAGTCTCATATGACGTGCTCTTTGTTTTAAAGGAAAAACAAAACCCCCTTTTTCATCTCGTTTTCTCTTAGGAGCCTCTTCCCGAGTCGACTCTCCTCCAGACGCCCAATGCCAACGGAGTGCTTTCACTCCAGAGAGTGCTACAAATACAGAGTGAGTGTCTCGCGCTCCTCTCGTCCCAGTCTGCCTATAATTATCCTGAAATGCACTGGCTTCCTGGTAGCACACATTTGTTGTAATTAATTATAATCATGATCATCGTTGTTTCACCACATGGTTCCTGCTGAGTCAAAATATTCCTATAAAAACAATGGTATGGGATGCACTACATGGCGTACACTACCTCTCTCATGCTTTCTGTGTGCTACTGACAGGCATCTATTTACAGTTTTCAACATTGTTGTTGGTTAGACTTGTAATTGACATTTTAAAACCTGTATGACTTTGTTTCTTCAGTTGAACACAAAAAGAAATGCAGAATGTCCAAGCTGCTTTTTCCTGACCACAAAAGTTTACAATGATTCATACAGTTGAGGTCCAATAAGCACATGGTTTATTTTTATCATTATTTTAAATGTAGTCCGTATGAGTTCATACAATATCTGACCAAAAAGTCACCATTATCTTTCCCTCTGCTATAGTTCTTCTCCAACAACATGGAAACCTCATTGGCTCTTGCACATCAAGCTAGCACGTTTGAGCTTCTGTTTACCATATTTGATGCGCTCTATGTGTGTGCATTGAACAATGTTTATATGTGAAGAAAAGCCTAAATTAAGTCTGTTCAGCTTAAAAAGTGATCCAGAAGACTTGGCTTAAGGATTACTTTTACAATGTCTTTATGAACTTTTGAACACGTCAAAGGTCTGGTTACGTGGATTTCAATGGAGGGACAGAAATCTCTCAGGTTTCATTAAAAATGTTTTAGTTTGGGTTTCCAAACATCTTATAGGTTTGGAACGACATTAATATGAGAAAATAATGACAGAATTGTCTTTTTTGAGAGTACTATCCATATTCTTCACATAAAGGCTTCAGAATACAGCACACAAGTTGTATGCAGTATTTTGCAATTGCTTTTTTTATATTTTCATTTTATGGAAATGAGCAGCTTTGACATTCTGCTAAATATCTATTTTTGTTATTCATTTCAGATAGAAAGTCATGCAGGTTTGGAATGACATAAGGAATGGTAAATTATGTCACAATTTAGTCCTGTCTGTTAATTCTGAGATTTCTGTCTCAGGTCAGTATTGGTCGTCACTGAAGCCGCTGATGGGCACAGTGGGGATGTCGTTTCTGGGTGCCCAGAGGAAAGACTGTGAGGAAACGGACACAGTGAATGCGATGGCGTCCCTCTCCGTGGGGGTCTTGACCAACAAAAGGTGAGATTTGATGAAGAAATTGTGCTAAATGCAATTCATACTATTTGCCACTACTCTATAGTGCTCAATCCTGTTCTGTTTTGTACATAATTTCTTCTGTAATTTTCAGTGTGACCAAGGTTATTATTGTTAACTAAAACTATTAAAATATTTGTATTAAAGGGGTCATCGGATGCCCATTTTCCACAAGTTGATATGTGATGTCATTACTATTAACCAATTTAACCACTAAAGAAGAAGAAAAAGAAGAAAACGATCTCGACAACTGTGGGTTTTATCAATCGTATTTTTTTTTTTTGCACTGTGCATTCCATAATGTGAACCGTGAAATTTTCCAAACCTCTGGGAAAAGAAAGATCTAATTCTTTATCTAGTTTTACGCTTAACGTTCTTTTTTTTTTTTTCAAAGTGAAGCAAAAAACAGTTGCATTCTTGTCAAGTTCAGTTACATTCTACCTGCATTCCAAGCATGAAGGCTGTAAACTTGAATACTTCGAAATACTTATTTGTACTGATTTTGTGTATCTGATTTAACGCCTCATGTTTTTAAAGGCCCGAGGGACAAACCAGCTATGAGCAAGTTTATTGCACACACCCACCCACCCAAAAAAACACACATATATGCCCATATTTCTGTGCACACATCGCATCCTTATGACCACTGTACAGTTAATATCGTGGACACAGGAAGTGCTTAAGCTTTCCCTAGACTAACTGTAACGCAAAGTAGCTCAGTCTCTTTTTAGACCAAACTAATTTGAATATGATGTCTATATGTGTGTGCGTGTGTATCTATCAGTCATATCTTTTATCTGTTCTGTACTCACAATCAAACCTCGACTGACCACAAGCAAAAGCGCAAAACGACATTTGAATGGGCTCTCGCGGCCACTTTAATAGCAGCGTGTGAAATTCTTTTATAACACAATTGTCTGTAGTCTTCACGGATCTTTGTTGTTTTGGACGAGGGACATGACCAGCCTGTTAACCTGTGGAGAAGACATGTCTCAAGTTGGTGCGCAGTTAATGATTTTCTTTCTTTGCTGGAGTGTGTTTTTAACATTCACTAAAAGAATGCGCTGAAGGACTCCAGTCGCTCAAATATTCACCTCCGGTGCCTCAAAAGAGACTATTTACTTTAGCTGGAGATGCGAAAGCAGAGTTGCAGGAACGGTTGAGGATTATTTAACCTTTTTTAAAGGCAGCCCACTTGCGGACTGTGCTGGGAGAAAATGAGGGGTTTCCTTGCACCTGGCAACCACAAAGTGGCTTCACTCTATGATGTCATTACTATTAACCAATTTAACCACTAAAGAAGAAGAAAAAGAAGAAAACGATCTCGACAACTGTGGGTTTTATCAATCGTATTTTTTTTTTTTGCACTGTGCATTCCATAATGTGAACCGTGAAATTTTCCAAACCTCTGGGAAAAGAAAGATCTAATTCTTTATCTAGTTTTACGCTTAACGTTCATTTTTTTTTTTTCAAAGTGAAGCAAAAAACAGTTGCATTCTTGTCAAGTTCAGTTACATTCTACCTGCATTCCCAGCATGAAGGCTGTAAACTTGAATACTTCGAAATACTTATTTGTACTGATTTTGTGTATCTGATTTAACGCCTCATGTTTTTAAAGGCCCGAGGGACAAACCAGCTATGAGCAAGTTTATTGCACACACCCACCCACCCAAAAAAACACACATATATGCCCATATTTCTGTGCACACATCGCATCCTTATGACCACTGTACAGTTAATATCGTGGACACAGGAAGTGCTTAAGCTTTCCCTAGACTAACTGTAACGCAAAGTAGCTCAGTCTCTTTTTAGACCAAACTAATTTGAATATGATGTCTATATGTGTGTGCGTGTGTATCTATCAGTCATATCTTTTATCTGTTCTGTACTCACAATCAAACCTCGACTGACCACAAGCAAAAGCGCAAAACGACATTTGAATGGGCTCTCGCGGCCACTTTAATAGCAGCGTGTGAAATTCTTTTATAACACAATTGTCTGTAGTCTTCACGGATCTTTGTTGTTTTGGACGAGGGACATGACCAGCCTGTTAACCTGTGGAGAAGACATGTCTCAAGTTGGTGCGCAGTTAATGATTTTCTTTCATTGCTGCGCACTTACTGGAGTTTTTTTTCGTTCTGTTTTCCACAGCCTGCACATAGATGTCTAATTCACACCAGTTGTGTGGATGAAGTTTATGGTGATATTAAATGTCTCTCAGCCACTGGGATTCACATTTACGCCATCATCAATAAACCAAAATTAATATCACACCAAAATGGACAGACCTCGTTAAATACTGTGCCACTCATCAGCATGTTCGGTTTCAAAAACCGTATCATTTCTAAACCAAAATCTGTCTAGTTGCGTAATCCTGATGGGCCAAACAGCCAAAAATAATGTGCTGGAAATAATGCTGTACCACATGCTGGATGGTCACCGGTCGGGACATTACATTTCACTAGTAGCACAGTTCATGGTGCTTGTTTGACTTTTGCGTTGAGCTTTTGGCTTAATGTACGCCCCGACGGCTCGCTTTCGCGTTTCGGATTTGTATTGATATTCATTGACCAAATCTCATGTTTTTGAGTTTGTGTTACCCTGCACAACCCTTTACCTCTGCATCCACTGGGATTCACATTTACGCCATCATCAATAAACCAAAATTAATATCACACCAAAACGGACAGACCTCGTTAAATACTGTGCTACTCATCAGCATGGTCGGTTTCAAAAACCGTATCATTTCTAAACCAAAATCTGTCTAGTTGCGTAATCCTGATGGGCCAAACAGCCAAAAATAATGCGCTGGAAATAATGCTGTACCACATGCTGGATGGTCACCGGTCGGGACATTACATTTCACTAGTAGCACAGTTCATGGTGCTTGTTTGACTTTTGCGTTGTGCTTTTGGCTTAATGTACGCCCCGACGGCTCGCTTTCGCGTTTCGGATTTGTATTGATATTCATTGACCAAATCTCATGTTTTTGAGTTTGTGTTACCCTGCACAACCCTTTACCTCTGCATTCACAACCAAATTCACACGGTAACATGCTTTCCCGCGTTCACTACAAGAAACAATCGTGACCTGGCAAATTGCTGTTATTGCAAACATTCCTTGTGCGATTTTTCTGTAATGCTGCAGATACAAGTGCCCAGCACCTGCCCGACCAACAAGTCTTTAATTCATCCCTTTCTTGCCTTGTACCAAACCACTGTGGCTAGTTCTACGTTTGTATGATTCCATGTAAATAGCACCATCCATTTATCGACGTTTTGTGAGGTTTCATGAAGACCCTGGGTAGCCTTTGCCCATCAGACCCCCGTGAAGACTGTTGTAAAATAGAGCAGATGCAGACGTTCACTCATTAATGAAGTCATAGCTAATCGCTCAGAACTAGCGGCGGTCTTGCTGCGTATTTATAGTACTTCAAACAGTGCACTTGCATTTCACCATCAACAAAACATGCCTGTTCATCTTCAGACAAATTGAAAACGACTTGGTTAGCGACAGATCGACAGCACTTAGTGACGGTTTCGTTGGGACTGTGGCTAAAAACAGATTTTTGACATTCCGTTGCAGTTTGGACACTGATATGCGTCTTACATACAGTTCTATTTTAGTGGTGTATTTTTACAATAGCTTTGTGCATTTGTACTGTTTTGATATACCTCTCAAAGCGCTTGTATTCTCTCGTCTCTCCGAACTCTTTATGAAGTCAAACGGAGAGCGTGCGCTGTCGTCATCGCTCGTGTAAAAGCAAACCAGCGTCGTCTTAATTCTTCTGTCATTTATTCCCTTTTGCCTTCTTTTATGGACAATGTAAATAGTTTCCTACGACCAAAAGACTTCACCTACGTGCCTTGAAGTACTTTCCCTGTCGACCCCACTAACTGGATCTGTTTAACAAAGCATAACAGAAATGATGTTTTCCAATCTTCCTTGTTTATTTCCCGTTTCTTTCATTTCTCTGTGTATAGAAAAGAATGTCTATTTTGTACTGTTTCTATCTTCCTAATTAAAAAGAAAAGCATTTTTTTGTTTGCCTGAATTTCATTCAGCTTTGTCATTTTTATGTGTACACTCTACTGCTTAAAATGTCTGAACATAAAATACCAGCGAGCTGAAAGAAATCAAATCCATTCGCGCACGTCCATTTGTTTTCTATTAATTGAGAAACATTCACTCGGATCTACAGCATGCTGTTTTTATTTTAGCATAGCAATGCTGTTAGAAAAATATAAGATAACTATAGTCCCTGCTAGAAATGACTACAATGCCTGCATTTTCCACCAAAACACAGCTGCTGCTGTTGTTATTACTAACTTGTAAAACTTGGGAAAAGCCACTAAATTCTTCAAAATAAAAAAGCTTACTCTAAAAGCATCTCATACTGTTTAAAGATGCCATATTTTATGTTTAACATTATGGTGCCATGATACATTTTCAAAGGTGTTTCATGCATCTGTTGAAGCAGAATCAGTACAATTAAATATTGCACATGCACACAATCAAAGAAATCTGAAATACTTGATTAATGAGTGGCCTGAAGCCACTAGATCGCCAATACTGGTTCATCTGGTCACTGGCTTCTTCTGTTTTATTCTAACATGTTTAGGCTTCTGCTTTAGTTTGGGCCACTATGGCCGTGTGTTTTGCACTTCGATTCAAACATACGTCTTGTAATTGCTTTACCTAATTACACGTAGTAAACAGCAGAACGTGGCACTCTTGTGGCGAGGCGGTCTGTCTTATTTCTTGCCAACCAGACATATATTTATTGAAGCCTCAAACTAAAAAGGATAATGCCAAGTTTATGTGCAGACCAAGTTGAGCTGACATTTTATTCTAATTAACTAATTTGCGGTGTCTGGATTCTAAAGAACTCGTACGAGCAGAACAAGAACGCCTTGATCTATCCCTTAAATCTTTTTAGATCCATTTCTGGGTTTTTTACATTTCTAATTTGTTAAACGATTTATTTTTCTTCAAATGTTTTTTTATTGCACTAAAAGGCATAAACATACTTGTTTTAAAGTACCTCTCATAACTCATAACTTAAAGTGATAGTTCACCCAAAAATGAAAATTCTCGCCCTCATGTCGTTCCAAACCCGTAAGACCTTCGTTCATCTTCGGAACACAATTTAAGATATTTTTGATGAAATCCGAGAGCTTTCTGACCCTCTCATCGACAGCAACGCAACTGACACGTTCAAGGCCCAGAAAGGTAGTAAAGACATCATTAAAATAGCCCATGTGACATCAGTGGTTCAACCTTAATTTCATGAAGTTACGAAAAAAAAAAATTTGTGTGCAAAGAAAACAAAAATAATGACTTTATTCAACGATTTATTCTCTTCCGGGTCGGTCTTCGCCGAGAGAATCATGATGCATGCGTGTGGAGCTGCTGACGCAGGAGCCGGTGTTCTGACGTAGAACCTGGATACACTGCGTAAAACATAAAACGGTCTTCGCGAACATGTCTTAAGATTTCGACAGAGAGGATGACTTACTCATGCAAACCAGAATATACAGACGATGAACTCTCATGAACGTCGAAGACGTCGAAGAACATTTTTAAAGTCGTTACTTTTGTTTTCTTTGCGCACAAACAGTATTCTTGTAGCTTCATAAAATTAAAGTTGAACCACTGATGTCACATAGACTATTTTATCGATGCTCTTGCTACCTTTCTGGGCCTTGAACAAGGTAGTTGCGTTGCTGTCTATGCAGGGTCAGAGAGCTCTCGGATTTCATCGAAAATATCTTAATTTGTGTTCCGAAGATAAACGAAAGTCTTAAAGGTTTGGAACGACCCGAGGGTGAGTAATTAATGACAGAACTTTAATTTTTGGGTGAACTAACCCTTTAATGCATTTGCTAATCACCAAGTCATATTGCAGAATTAATCTTACAGCTTTATTATTATTATTTTTTTAAACGTAACAACCTTTACATTTAGACGAATGTGGTATATACCATGACACAATTGTTACACTGTCACAGAAGCAATAATGTTGGCTAATATACAGCATAAATGACCAGCGCAACAACTCTGAAATGATCAGATCTGTATATCAGGGAATATAGTGAGTCTACGTAGCATTTTTCCATCAGGCTAGCTGGTATAGGTTAGCTATAAGTGTAGAGTCCTTATGACAGTCAATGTCTGCCTCTGCGTGTCCATACATAATCAAAGACAGTGAACGCTGATCACAAATCAGCACTCTGCCACTCAATCAGAGTCATTTCCCGAGTTTGATTCAGAGTCAAGTGGAATAATCTGAACAATCTTAGTTCCTTTAGATGGTGGAGCGTAATTTTTTTGCATTTTGTTGTATTGCTCCATTAGAAAAGGGAAGGATTGTTGGCTTGTAGTTGAAGCATGATGTCCTCTGGGATAGTGGGATACTGTTGAGACGGACAGAAGGGGAAGAACATGTCAGAAATGTGCTTTATAATCAAAATGGCTAAGTAAAACATTTATATGGACAGTATATAGTCATTTGTATATGCATGGGTTGTTCACATATAGCTTTTGTGGTCAAAGAAAAAATTATTTAAAGACTACATGGAAATATTTTGCAATTTAAAAAATGCATTTGCCACATACCATTTGAAAATGGATTTGTGAAGGTGTAAGGGTTTGGATTAAAGACAAACATATTGGATGAAACATTGAGGAGAGGACGTATTTGATGTCTGGATCTGGATTACTTCATAAACAGCTTTATTTAAACTGCTCAATCAGTTTGCTGGAATCTGCATCTCATCTCAGCCTAAAGCGAAAGAATCATTCCCATGAGCACCGGCTAACACGTTGACTCATCTCGCATAAACGAAGGACATTGCTAAAGTAATACAGTATGTGGTGAATATGACTAGTCCAAAGAAACCATAACCCAAAATAAATCCTGACAAAGAGCCGTAGTTACTCTGTTTCCTTTAACAGCACACATTTTTTCACCAATCAGCCAATCAAGACTGGATGACTAAAAAAACTATACCTGAAGATTATGATAACTGCCAGAACTGGTTAATAAAAGTGGTACAAAGTTGAACTTCAATGGTCTTTGAAGAGTTTTTTTGGTTATTTGTAGTGCTGTCAACCGATTAATCGTGATTAATCGCATTCAAAATAAAAGTTTTTTTTTCATAATATATGTTTGTGTACTGTGTATATTTATTATGTATAAATAAATACACACACATACATGTATATATTTATTAAAAAAAACTTTTGTATAAGTTTATATATTAAATATATTTATATATAATATAAATTATATGAATATAAATATATACATGTAAATACATCTAAATATTTTCAAAATATATACTGTATGTGTGTGTATTCATATATGCATAATAAATATACACAGAACACATACATATATTATGCAAACAAAAACTTTTATTTTTGGATGCGATTAATCACGATTAATCGTTTGACAGCACTAGTGAAAATAGAATTCTAACGAAGACAGTCAGAATTAAACCAGATTATTTTGGACAAAGTGAGGTAGAATGAGATAAGCGAGTGTTGCAAACCAGGTACCAACTTAAAAAAGCAAGCATGAGCATCACAGCACACAGCAGTGTTCGCTCGGGCAAGTGCTGACCATCAACAACTCTTTCAGTCCGACGGTTTCAGGCAGCTTACGCCGTCGTCAAGTGCCCCTGCTTTCAATAGCCTGTCCAGACAGAGTTCAGCTCTAAAAGCTGCCGCGATTAATCGCGATTAATCATTTGACAGCACTAGTTATTTGTGATTTTGGCTGTTTAAGAGTTACATCGAGTTTTTTTTAAGTGTGTACTAATTTTGTTCCATTTAAATGCAGAATGTAAGAAACTGCTTCACAGAAAAAACATCAAACTCTGCATACCTGTCATTTCTATTGGTGCCAGGGTAAGTTCTGCACATCCCTTGCCTGGTCTTTTGTTAAGTATTTAAGTTTATTTGATTACAATGACAGCTAGAGACTCTAACAGCGCATTTTCTCCCAAACTCAGTGCAGAGATGTGAAAAATGTGTACAGATTTAGTCTGGACCTGGGCTCAACTAACCTGTTGCTGAATATCTTTGTTTCAGTTGCGTTTACAGGGGAATTTCACCATCCTAAAACTACACGATGCCAGCTAAATATTTCCCAACTCTCGAAGTGCCCAAAAATCAATACCATTGATAAGTCACACATTCACTAAAATCCTCTTCTTCGTATATGCTAACATCAAACTGATATATATCATCAAACTGAATTAGTGTGTGTATTTTTGTGTGTTGTATGGTGTGTATCTCTCACACACACACACACACACACACACACCTCTGTAATACTCCACAACTGTTTCCAATCATTAGGTTCCTGCATGTCTAGGGCCGGTCGCCTCTGATTGCACGACACTGGATACGAGATCCCGTGAAGGGCAGAGGGAGGGCGATTTACACCCGTGGGCTAAAGGAGAGTCCTCTCCACCTTTCCCTGCTTCCTGTTCACTCACTTTTCTTTTCCTTTAATGATTTTTCTTTGTTCCCTGTTATCTTTAACAGCAACACATGGTCCCTGGTTCTCAGACTGAGATCACGGTGGAAAATGTGAAATAAGTGCATATTTGTTTTAAATACGTATTAATTACATAGTTATTAACTTTACTAACATATAAATAGTTATACATAAATTTAGTTATAAATATAGAAAAAAATATGTATATATATGCATGACCAACACAAAATTATGCAGACAATAACTTTATAAAACGTCTGTTTTTTTGTTGTTGTTGTTGTTTTGTTGTTGAAAAGATATTTACGTGCAGTATATTTAAATGTACTTGTGGTTAAGGCAATACATACTATGAAATCCAAAGAAGAGGCTACACCTAGGCCTGCGTATGATAACATCAGCAGCGGAATATCACAAGCTGGAAGTTGTGCTGAGTCGTATTTAGGTAAACTTGACAAGTCAGTGTTTACAATAAACATAGATCACATGAAATGAATACATTTGTCAATGGGAATATGAATAATATCTGTTCTTCTGCTAAAGTGTGTATAAGTGGAAACTCCAGAATCTTAAGAGGAGTTTCGCATTTGTGTTGTATTCTCAAAATGGCTATTATCTCACAAATTCTTGAGACAGCATGTTTTTTTATGCATTTAATTTTCATACCATTAACCTGGGGTTGAAATCGTTATTATTATTATTTTTTTCCCCATTTAAACCAATTGACATATGTTTGAAGTTACAAATTCCTATTGCTGAATACCTCGACAAATTTGGACAAATGAAATTGTTAGCATTTAGTCCATTAAAACTGAGTACAACATTTAGATCAGATTATTTCTGCAAATAATTATTAAATGGACAATAAAGTCATTAATATCTAGCACATTGTAAAAATATCCTCCCTCAGACAGTTATCACACTGATCTTATGATGTAGCCTATGTAAGAAAACAAACCCAACGAGTCCATAATCAATGAGCAAGTCATTTTTTCGTATTTGTGATAGAGAAGCGTGAACTTGCAGATCAACAACTTGGACTAAACCAGATCCATGTGCTCATATCAGCTACCATATTTCATTTATAACATTTCACTGACATACCTGTGGAGGGTTGCTCTGAGAAAAAGTAAAAAGGTCGGTGTTGGAAGGTCAGAGGTCAGCTTTAGGCAGGGTCAAGTCATGGCAGCAGGAGTCAAATGGCTGTTGCTGGTGAATTTGAAGCCATAGCTAGTAGACAGACAGCGATAGATTTAAAAATCAGAGTCACTTTCTCTGGGGCAGAATGCAGGTTCAGAGTTCAGAGGCTGGTTCGATCTGGAGGGTAGTATAGGGCTGTAGGGTCGGCAGGTAGGATCAGGAACGGGTGAACGTCTAGTGAGTGGCGGACATGGACCAAGCACCCTCCATCCTCCATACGGAGAAGGCATAGCTCAGCCTTTCGTGGGCCAGGTAGTTACAGCTGGCCAGCTTGGCATCCATCTCATCGCTCTGGAGAACCTGGTAGAGAAAGTCGATGTATCTCGAAGCCAGTTTGAGGATCTGAATCTTGCTCAGTTTGTCCGAAGGCAACGTGGGGATGATCTTCCGCAGCGAGGCGAAAGCATCGTTTAGGGACTGCGTGCGCTGCCGTTCCCGGACGTTAGCGATCACCCGTTGCGTGTGGAGGTCCTCGAACGGTTGCCCGGGCACAGGTGACACCGAGCTCACGATGGGCACTAGGGAGG